AGCAACCTCCAACTCCTGGGCTCAAGCAAGTCTCCTGCCTCACCCTCCCAAGTAGCTGGGACCACAGGCACCCGCCACAACGCCCGGCTATTTTTTGGTTGCAGCCATCGTTGTTTGGCGGGTCTGGGCTGGATTTGAACCCGCCACCTTAGGTGTATGTGGCTGGCACCTTAGCCGCTTGAGCCACAGGCTCTGAGACTAGCTACAGAATTCTAAAGTAATTTCCAAAATGGTTTCAAGGTATGGCAACATTTTTTGTTGTTGTTTGTTTAATCAGTTTATTAAGAGAAACATAGAAAAGTGCATGCATTTTAAATAATGTTTAGCTTGACGAATGTTTACAAAGTGAAAACACTTGTGTAACTACCACCCAGCTCAAGATTTAAAATGTGTATAGTCCCAGCTACTTGGGAGGCTGAGGCAAGGGAATTGCTTAAGCCTAAGAGTTTGAGGTTGCTGTGAGCTGTGATGCTACTGCACTCTGCCAAGGGTGACAAAGTGAGACTCTTTCTCAAAAAAAAAGAAAAGAAATAGAATATTATCAGTATCTCATACGCCTCTCTCTCAAGTCCCCTCAGCTACTAATTCCCCAGAAGATAACTATTAATCTGACTTTATCACCATAGATAAGTATTGCCTGCTTTGAACAATTGTTGAAGATTTTCTGTTCTGTCTGGCTTCAACATTATATTTGTGAAATTTATCTCTGGTGTTCTACTAACAGTAGTTGAGTCATTCTCCTTTTGTAGTATTCCCTTGGATGAATATCCCACAATTTGGGTATCTATTCTAGTATTGTTGGATTTTTGGGTTATTTTCATTTCGGGACTATGAAGAGTAAAGCCATCATAAGCATTCTTGAATATTTATTTTATTGAACATATGTATGGATTTCTGTTTAGTGTATATCTAGAAGTGGTGTGGAATTGCTGAGGCATTGACTATTCATAACATTCGTCTTTAACAGATGTTAAAGAAACGGTTATTCTTGTCCCTCATTAGAATGGTGTGGCAGGCTTTCTTTAGGACTGTTGTGATAATATAGGGACTGCTGCAGTGAGGGATTGCAGTAGGGGAGAAAGATTGGCCTCAAATCTGAATAGAGCAAGGAAATGTGGAAATTTATAGTCAAGCAATAGGCTCTCTCTGTGTGTGTATATGTGTGTGTGGGGAGGCATCAGTGGATGGAAACTTAAGAAAAAACCTCAGAGGTAAGTGAAGATTCCAGCTAAACCAACCTAACAGGATTCTTGTAGAAGTCAGGCAATGGTCAGGGTGATAGACATCCCCTGAGGGATAGTAGGGACTGGGGAATTGGGTCAGACATCAAGGGTGATGAAATAGCAGGAGTGAGGGATTCTGGCTGAACTGACTTTGCAGTATTCTTACTAAAACTGGACTTGACAAGGCTGAGGATGGCAACCTAGTTGAGCAGGGCTGACCAAAATTTGGTCAAGGAGAGAATCTTTTTCACAGATAATGCCAAACTCTTCTTTCACGTCACTTTATTCTTCAACTGATAGAATATCAGAGCTTCAGTTGCTCTGTATCTTTGCCAAAATTTGGTGTTATCTATTTTTAAAATTTTGAATATTTGGTGTGTGCCGTAGTATCTCAGGGTGGTTTTAACTTGCTTTTCTTCCACATCTAACAATGTTGAATACTTTCTCAGATGTTAATGAGTCGTTTGAAGTCCCCTTTCAAGTCTTCAGCCCTGGCCCCCTTTCCTGTTGATGTAGGAGTTCTTCCTGTAGTCTGAGTGAATCTTTATATTACATGTGTCTTCGTCCACTCTGTAGTTTGTGTTTTCCTCTTGTTCTTGTATCTCTTGCTGAACGGAAGTTCTTATTCTCGGTAAAGTCCAATTTGTTGAATTTTTTGTTAGAACTTTTAATGTCTCCCTTAAGACATCTTCTGTGCTACTCTTCTTGAATGTTTATTGTTTTACTATTTTTTTGAGACAGAGCCAAGCTGTCCCCCTGGGTAGAGTGCTGTAGCATCATAGCTCACAGCAACCTCAAACTCCTGGGCTCAAGCGATTCTTTTGCCTCAGCCTCCCAAGTAACTGGGAACATAGGCGTCTGCCACAACGCCCGGTTATTTTTTGGTTGCAATTGTCATTGTTGTTTGGCAGGCCCCGGCTGGATTCGAACCTGCCAGCTGTGGTGTATGTGGCTGGTGCCTTAGCCGCTTGAGCCACAGGTGTGGAAAGAGCCTGTTTCACTTTTTATACTTAGATCTATATGAGCCCTGTAATCTACTTAATAGCAATCTTTCCAGGTATCTTTGTTAGATAGCAAGTGACCATGTATGTGTGGGTCTTTTTCTGGACTGTTATGTTCCACGGCCTTATTTTTATATCCTTGTGCCTGTATCACTGTCTTAATTTCTTTAGCTTTGTACTTTTTTTTTAATTTGATAGCCTAAGTCTTTTAACTTTATTGTTTTTCAGTATTGTCTTGGCTTTTATAGGCTTTTAAAAAAATTCCTTATACATTTTCAAATCTGCTTGTAAATTTCCACAAATACCTGTTGGAATTTTGATTGGAATTGCACTGACTCTGTAGATCAATTTGAGGAGGATTGGAATCTTGACAATATTGAATCTTCGGATCCAGTAACATGGTGTTTTCCTACATTTAATTAGGTATTTCATTTCTCTTAGTAACAGTTTTTTAGTTTTGTGTTCAGAGGTCTTGTTCATCATTTTTTCCCTAGGGACTCGATGTTTTGGAAGTGTCATTTTGAAGTTTGTAGCCTTTTCAGGTGACAGTGTGTTTAAAAGTAAATCATCTTATTTTAGTTTCATCCTATAGTAAAATCATTAGTAATCAGATCATTTTATTTTAAGGTAAGTATTGGTTCTTTTACTAGTATTAGCAAATAACTCTTACAGCTTCAGGATTTCAGTAGTTTTATCCTAGCCGAGAAATCCTTTCCACTCATCTTTGATTGTTGCATGATTATATCTTTCAGTATCTACACCTAAGAATGGCCCATATAAGTAGAATAATAAGATAGCCAAGCTTCTGTGGTACTTTCTTGCCATGATACCCTGAGCATCTGGTCAGTATTTTCAGTTATTAATGTTTCAAATTAGGGTTTCTTCCAGACATTTGGGTCCCGTGTAGTTTGGCTCCACGCAGCTTATCTATTCAAAGTATAAACTACTTTGTGATATAACTCTGGGTTCCATTTAGGGTTGTTTCCTGATATCCTTAGTACAGTCTGTGTTTCTTTCCTCATCTAGGCATTTTCTCATGCATTTTTTTTTTAACCAAATCCCACTGTCATCAAATCTTGATGCCTTTTTAGTTTCCTGCCTTTTCTTACTTTTTCTTATAACCTATGAAATCTCTGCACCATAGAGTTCAACATTTGTGTTCTGATTGCTTTTGGTGTCTCAGTTTGTTTCCTTGGTTAAACTGTCAGCTCTATGACAGCAATGACATACCTGCTCCCCTCTTATCTTCCCCTCTCCTAGCCCTGCTCTGAGATGAGTAAATGCTTACTAATTAATGATAGCTTAACACAAATTTGTTTTACAACAAAGACTTGGGATTGGCTCAGCATAATTCTTAATTAGTTCTCCTTTGTCACAGTATCAGGGTGTGTGGATAGAAGAGGTAAAGGTCTTCAAAATACAAATGGGCATGCCATAGAATTACTATTTTAATGGAAAGTGACCACAGTTACCATTTTTGTACTTCTTCTTTTTTTTTTTTTTTTTTTTGAGACAGAGCCTCAAGCTGTCCCCCTGGGCAGAGTGCCGTGGCATTACAGCTCACAGCAACCTCCAACTCCTGGGCTCAAGCGAGTCTCCTGCCTCCGCCTCCCAAGTAGCTGGGACCACAGGCGCCCGCCACAACGCCCGGCTATTTTTTGGTTGCAGCCATCATTGTTGTTTGGCGGGTCCGGGCTGGGGATTCGAACCCGCCACCTTAGGTGTACGTGGCTGGCGCCTTAGCCAGTTGAGCTATAGGTGCCGAGCCTGTACTTCTTCTTAATGCAGGCACTATTATAGGCTTGGGGGATATGCAAACATAGACTGCTTTCAAGGAAATTAGTAAAAAATGTGTGATAGTGTGACATTCATTATGCTTTTATTTAAGGTGACTGGGTGGCCCCAAGGGAGGTCTCACTTCTCAGGATTTAATTAGTGTCTGTTTTCTCTTTCAGACATCCCATTGCTTTGGCACCACTGACACCTTGGGTCTATGTTAGAATGGTGGTTTGGAGGGAGCCACTGGGTGACCTTTTAGGGAGTGGCACTATCTGTGTCATATATGTTTTTTTAGGGGTGTGAAGCATCCAGTTTTGTTCAAGAGTGATGGTTTGATTTTTCCCTGAATTACTTAAGTCTATAACTGTATTTTCCCTTTGTTTATCATCATAGTTCATTCAGCAGACAATACAAGAATGGAATTAATCATTCCCGGAGAGCAGCATTTCTACATGAAAGCAGTGAATGCAGCTGAAAGACAGAGGTGGCTGGTTGCCCTGGGGAGCTCCAAAGCATGTTTGACTGATACTAGGACTAAAAAAGAAAAAGGTAACTATAATTTTTTTCCTGTGGTATGAGCTTTCTTAAATATCAATAGAAATTGTCCTGTCCTGGCGGGCATGGTGCCTTATGCGTGTAATCTCATCACTCTGGGAGGCCAAGGCAGGTGGACAGGTTTGAGACCAGCCTGAGAAGAGTGAGACCCTGTCTCTAAAAATAGCTGGGTGTTGTGGTGGGCACGTGTAGTCTCAGCTACTTGGGAGTCTGAGGCAAGAGAATTGCTTGAGCTCAAGAGTTTGAGGTTGCTGTGAGCTGTGATGCCATGGCACTCTACCAAGGGCAACAAAGTGAGACTGTCGCCAAAAAAAAGAAAAGAAAACTGTCTACTTTTAGTAATTTATCCTAACCCAAGGAAATAATTAGAAATGTAGAAGAAACTTTACATATATATATCTTTATCATAAAAAGTTTATTATAAAAGATATAGTTCATGGGAATAATTCATAATTCAACAAACCAGTACTTTCATTGGCTGATATATTATGTAGCAAGTAAAATGTTTATAAGGAAATTTAATTGACAAAGGTAACATTCAAAATGATACATATTAATAATAGTATTAATTGTCTAACTTAGGAAAGATATATAAGAATTGGTCAAGATGTTACCTTTGGAACTGGAGATTTTGGGAAGCAGACTCATTTTTCATGGAATACACTTTGAGACCTTTTGACTTTGCCATATGCCTATATTTCCATTTCAAAAAGATTTAATAAAATTAAAAGCAAAGCAAATGATTCATGGTACTATTCCAGTAATATGCAGATATAATGTGAAAATAATGGCAGTCTTTATGTCATGATAGTGGGATTTCAGGTTATCTTAGTTCATTTTCTGTTGTTATAACAAAGTACCTGAGACTATGTAATTTATAAAGAAAAGAAGTTTGTTTCGCTCATGGTTCTGGAGGATGGAAATTCAAGATCAGGTGGCTGCATCTAATCAGCTTCTGGTGAGGGCCTTGCGCTGGATGGTACCATGGCAGAGAATTGGAAGGGGAAGTGGGCGTATGCAAAAAGAGAACAACCAGGAGAGGCAGCCTTGATTTATCCATGCAGCCACCCACTTTCAAGGTAACTACTACACTACCAAGAAGGAAGGAAGGAACTCCTTTGAGAAAAGCACTAGCCCTTCTTCATGTTCAATCATCTCTTACACTGCCACACTGGGGACCAGGTCTCAACGTGAGTTTTGGTGAGGACAAACTGTATTCAAACCACAATATAGTTTTTTTTTTTTTTTTTTTTTTTGAGACAGAGTCTCACTTTGTCACCCTCAGTAGACAAAGTGTCTTGGTAGAGACACCTTCACAGCAACCTCAAACTTTTGGACTCAGGTAATTCTCTAGCCTCAGCACCACCTACTGCATACCCCTGTCCCTCAGTTGCTGGGACTACAGGCACCTGCAACAATGCCCTGCTATTTTTAGAGACAGGGTCTTGCTCAGGCTCAGGCTGGTCTCAAACTCCTGAGCTCAAGCAGTCCAGCCCCTTTAACTCCCAGAGTGCTAGGATTACAAATGTGAACTACCTCTTCTTGCCTTGCATTTTTTTTTTTATTTTTTTTTTTCTTTTTTTTTTTTTTTTATAGTTTTTTTTTTTTTTTTTTTTTTTTGAGACAGAGCCTCAAGCTGTCCCCCTGGGTAGAGTGCCGTGGCATTACAGCTCACAGCAACCTCCAACTCCTGGGCTCAAGCGAGTCTCCTGCCTCCGCCTCCCAAGTAGCTGGGACCACAGGCGCCTGCCACAACGCCTGGCTATTTTTTGGTTGCAGCCGTCATTGTTGTTTGGCGGGTCCGGGCTGGGGATTCGAACCCGCCACCTTAGGTGTACGTGGCTGGCGCCTTAGCCGGTTGAGCTATAGGCGCCGAGCCTATTTTCTAATATTTTTCATTGAATATATATTACCTTTGTAATTCAGAAAACAGGCTGGCATGGTGGTTTATACCTGTAATCCTAGTATTTTGCAAGCCTAATGCAGGAGTATTGCTTGAGGCCAGGAATTGACATTAGCCTGGGCAATACAAGGAGACTCTGTGTCAAAAAAAGAAAAAATTTAGCTGTGCATTGGTGGTGCACACCTGTGGTCCCAGCTACTCAGGAGGATTGCTTGAGCTTGGGAGTTTGAGGTTGCTGTGTCCAGCCTGGGTGACAGAGTGAGACCCTGTCACAAACAAAGTGTTAATTAGTGGAAGCAACTAAATTATGGGTAGTAAGGAATGGAGACTAATCATTGAATTTATAACAATTTTCAAGTATATAATAGAACATGATGACAAGAGCATGGCTGAGGGTAGGAGAAGGAATGGGTATTCACAATAGCTAAAAGGTGGAAACAACCCAAATCTTCATTCATATAAACAAAATGTGGCATATATATGTAAGATGGAATATTATTTGGTCTTAGAAGGAAATTCCGACACGTGTAAACAAAGATGTTATGTGGATTATGCCAAGTGAAATAAGCCAATCACAAGAGGACAAATAGTCTATGATTCTACTTTTATGAAATACCTGGAATGGTGAAATTTATATAGACAGAAAATAGAACGGTGGTTGCCAGGGTCTAGGTGGAGGAAGGGATGGGGTAAGGGCTTAATGGGTATAGAATTTTAGTTGGGGAAGGTGAAAAAGTTCTGAAGATGGATAGTAGCGATGGATGTACAACAGTGTGAATGTACTTAGTGTCACCTTTTTAAGTGTGAACTTAAAGTGTTTAAAACACGTTGGGCACGGTGGCTCATGCCTGAAATCCTAAGCACTCTAGGAGGCCAAGGCTTGTGGATTGCCTGAGCTCACAGGTTCAAGACCAGCTTGAGCCAGAGGGAGACCTCTAGAAATAGCTGGGCATTGTGGCAGGTGCCTGTAGTCCCAGCTACTTGGGAGGCTGAGGCAAGAGAATTGCTTGAGCTCAAGAGTTTGAGGTTGCTGTG